TTTCACTTCTTGCCAAGATATTGTTGCTTATTCACAGTCAGTGGCTATTTGCAAGGCTGATCATAATTCTGCAGAAAACTGCCTGTATTCTGGTGTCACTCCTGAATAATCAAAATTCAGAGCTTCAATAAGGGTGCTCCTAATTTACAAGGTTAATTCCTCCAATAATGATGTCTACGCTCTTACACACATTTCAGAACTGAGAATTTATTGCACAGGGCACAAACTTATTGGATATGCAGTGTAAATAACCTTATTAAGAATGCAGGGAGAGAATATACATTACTGTTCTATTGGGTCAGAAGGGTAAACACAACAAGAAAATGAGGCATTTACCGCTAAGTGGTCCAACTGATTTATTTTACTATGCCTTTTTCATTCTGAGCCTTTTGAAGCACAGGCTGCCTGGGTACTCTGCCCTCACCTAGGCATTCATGTAAAAAATACTAAATTCTAGAGGGCGTGGGAACTGTCCCAGAGAACAATACCAGGGACTATGTGTTAACTGAAGCTGGAATTGATAACAACGTTTCAGGTCAGTGTGAGTTAGTAGTAAATCTGCTTTTGCTTTTGTGCTCCAGGTATTTCTGTTAGGATTTGATAAAACATATGATGGAGAATTTTCCCTGCCAGTATAAACAAAACTCAATTGATCTAGATCTAAGCAGTGACACAGCTCTAAGTAGAGACCAGAGCCAAGACAGAACAGGATATACTAACCCTTCAGCTATCTCCTATATATGGTATGTATTTCTAGTTCAACTCTAAGTACTTTTTGATATAAGAAAGTTTCTGCTGTCTCCTTCTTTTCTGCCTAGAGATAGTATCCAGTACAGTAGCATGCCAGTGGGAAGGACGCTGTCAGCTAAGTGCTTCTGTGACATGAGGTCATATTTTATATAACAGAAAATACCATAGCAAAGCTACAATATCCTCCGGGCCCTCCTTCCAAGGCCACATAGCTTAGTAGTATATGCTTTTCCTAGTTCTTAAAGTAAGGGAATATTTTTAGGAAGTGTCTTTCAAACCAGTAACACTTGCTGTAATATTTCTTCACCTGACAGTGGTAATGATTATAGATTACTATTTATTACTAGACATTATTACTGTGTTGTAAATACTGTAAACTTGAGTGGACTCATAAGAAAAGCATTTGACTTTATGTTGATTCCAGAATAGGAATCATACTGAGTGCATTTTATAGTTTGTATATTTCTCGAAAAAATAACTTATTGAGACTTATTCACTACTTTCATTCTCTGATTTACAGGGAGAGGATGGAGTATCTCCCTTTCTTTTATCTAGCTCTCTGAGGTTCATTTTTGGCTTACCTTGTTTTATTCATACTTATCTAAGGAGAAAGATGGTTTCTTAATTTTCATTGTTCCAAGTCCCTGCATCTTGGAAGCAGAAATTTTAGTTCCTTAAAAGTTAAGTTAAATAAGATATTCATGTTGACCACAGAAGACTTAGGGTCATGTGGTAAAAGGAGCAGGAACCTAAAATTTTGGACGAACAAGTGCACATCTTCCAGGGGTTTATAGATTAAAATCAATAAAGGCAAAATATGTCAGATAAAGCCTGAAGAAATTTTCATCAGTATGTCACCTCCTTATTCATTGGAGAACAAGCAATATGATTCACCCTATATGGATGTGTGGTGCTAAATAGTATTCTAAACTTTTACGGACATGCCCCATCAGGTCAGCTTTCACTAGACCCCATTCTAAATATATTCCTTAAAAGTATAAACTACTGGTGACATGAAATGTCTCTTTGTCTTGCTCAACTCTTCAAAAAGAGGTCCAGGTCAGGAGAGAGACGGGGTGGGCTCTATTCCTTGCCCTGGTGCTAACCAGCTGGTGGTAACATTGAGTATTTAGCCCCTTGGGGCCTTGGTTTTCTCTATGTCAGATGAGAGGGTTTGGCTACATAATTTAAGATTCTTTCCATCTTTAAAATCCTTCTTTCTACATATTTAAAATATTTTAATCCTATTGATTATATAATACACACTAATGATGATCTACTGTACTCTCACCTTGAAAATACTAGAACGGAGTCCAAGAAATGTAAGTCTGTCTCTTAACTATAAAGGACAAGCTGATGTTTACAGAGGGGAGGTGGTGGGGGCGGGAAGAGGTTACATAGGTGATGGGGATTAAGGAGTGCAGTTGTTGTGATGAGCACCAGGTGCTGTATGGAATTGTTAAATCGCTAAATTGTATATATCTGAAATTAATATTACACTATATGTTAAATAAAAACTAAAAAAGGAAAAAAAAACAAAAAGAAAAAATAAATAGTTGAGACAAATTAAGCCAGAGCCAGGCCCAGAACAGGAGGCTGTTTACTGCTTTAGGAAGGGCCAGGTTCATGAATGTGTGGACACGGCATTCGTAAAGGGTCCCATACTTAAGGTCATCCTGAAATTCTTAATAGTTTTATCTTTAAATTTGTATTCTGCAGTCAGAAATCATCCTGATGGTACAATGGAGTATGCACTAATATCTTAGATCTTCTACTCACATAGGATTCTGCCTCCTGTCACCTCCTTATTTCTCCTGATTGGGTGCCCAACCACCTACTTCCTTGCCTCCACCTAGTGACTTCTGAGGCCTTTTGTCCATGGCATGGGCTTAGGCATGGGTATGGATGGAGAGGACACTTGTGAAGGTCTGCACTTGCCCTACAAGTATCTTCATTCCCAAGGAAGCAGTACCTTCAATGCAAATAAAAATTACCAGGAGGGTTTGAGACACTATAGAAGAACAGAAAAATCTTTTCCCTTGCTTTTGAACAAGGGATCCATATATTCTTTTTGCACTGAGCCCTGCAAATTGTGCAGCTGGCCCTCACCTCAATCCTTCATAAACATTTTATTTGCAAGGATTATGAATTAGAAAGAGGATCACCCTTTCAACATTATTTTGAATACAGCTTAATAGAAAAAGTATATAATGTTTACGTATAATGTAGTGATATTTATAGTGTCATTATTGCTCCAAATCTTTTTTTTTTTTTTACAAATAGTTTATTGTCAAGTTGCTTTCCATATAACACCCAGTGCTCATCTCCACAAGTGCCCTCCTCCATGCCCATATTGCTCCAAATCTTATTTCTCATTTTTGTACACTCAGGAATTTGAGTTTTTATTTCTCTGTAAGTATTAGCTTCTGGAGGACAATTTTATGTCTAACAATCTATAAGAACCTCGTAAGTTAATTTATTTTGAATTAATAAATGGTTGGAAATACTGATATTGGGGCATCAACCTATTTTCTTCTCAAGTGAAATGTTATTTGGGAAATCAGATGATTTCAAGAAAACCCAGACAAAAAGTATTTAGATATCTTTAGAATTAATGTTAATAGATTGATATGTACCTTTCTTTACCATAGGAATATATGTACTGAGAAGGCTAGAGGCTCATACCTGCCAATCAGGGCATTCTGTTCTATGCATTATGCTAGGGACACAAGTACATAATATTAAATTCTCAACTCTTGTTTACCCAGACTTTACCCTTCTGAAGGCATTGGTGTTACAATGTCCAATCCCATTGGGAGGAGATTTAAGAATTATATTTATCCAATATTTATTTATTTAAAAAATTTTTAATGTTTACTTATTTTTGAGAAAGAGAGAGACATAGAGCATGAGTAGGAGAGGGGCAGAGAGAGAAAGGGACACAGAATCTGAAGCAGGATCTAGGTTCCCAGCTGTCAGCAGAGGACTTGAACTCACAAGCTGTGAGATCATGACCCAAGCCTAAACTGCATGCTTAACTGACTGAACCACCCAGGTGCCCCATTTACCCAATATTTATGATCTCAGTATGCTTGTTTTATTTCTACAATGAGATGATCAGCTTACACAAATAGTACAAATATTATCAGAAGTAAAAGTTCAATATCAACTCTATCAAAATGAACATGATTATTTTTTGAAGACATGTTTCAATATCTAAGTAGATATGATGCCTCACAGGTCTAATCTGCAGCCTCTGTAGAGTGTATTTTGACAGGAACTAATCCTGAAATGCCATTAAGGTATAATCATCCTCAAATTATCGTCGATATTTGTATGACAGAGATGGAGAATTACTGAAGTACACTGTAAAGTTTTCCCGTTAATGTATTTAGAACTTTGAGGATTTAATTGTGCTCTTGTTCAGACCTCTGGGAAGAACTGAAGCTGCTTTTTTGAGAGAAGTCTTGGTCTTGCCCGGTACAATTGTTCTGCAGCTGGGCAGGGATATGGATAAATTATTCAATGTTTATATAAAAATAAAAATCTTGTCAACTACACAGGGAGCAGCTAATATAAGAAATCATTTCATTAAAAAAATCAAAATGTGGGGTGCTTGGGTGGCTCAGTCGGTTAAGCATCCGACTTTGGCTCAGGTCATGAATTCACGGTTCGTAGGTTCGAGCCCCGCGTCGGGTTCTGTGCTGACAGCTAGCTCAGAGCCTGGAGCCTGCTTCGGATTTTATGTCTCTATCTCTCTGACCCTCCCCTTTTCACGCTGTCTCTCTCTCTCTCTCTCAGAAATAAATAAAACATTGAAAAAAAGGAAATCTTTCTAAAAAAAAAACAAAAAAACCCCAAAATGTGTCCATTCCAGGCATTTATTAAAACTTCAGTTTTCAAATATATGCTATATACGCTATTCTTTAAGAGTTAATGTGAAATGAATGACAATTTTTCTCAAATTTATAATCACTAAAAAGCTACACAATCCAGTTCTTGAAAAAAATGAAATGATGAATTCATTGATTCACCCAATTGGTGTTTATTGATTCCCCCTACTAGGGGATCTTTTAGGCACTAGTTATAAACATAGGAAAGACTCTGAACTTGTGAACCACCATGGATAGGAAACATTTGACTTATAATGCTATATTTATTAATATTATCTTGAATGCCAACATGAGGTTTCTGGAGCAGACAGATTTATCATTTTTTATTTACAGCAAATAATAATGTCCTGGATCCCATGTGCTATAGTGTCTTCCTTCTGGGGCAATGCAGTGAGAGCCAGCTGTCACTCAACATACAGTTTTGTAGGTGAGTATCCCCCTTCCCACCTCCGTGGAAATGAATCTGGACATTTATACATGAGGGAGAGGCAGCTGTCTTTCCTCCTCTTTTGAGAGAGTTTCCTTGGAAAAATAATGGGAAGGATCCTGGGTTCTCCTTCTGGAATGTGTCCATGTTCCTGGGTCTCATCTTCCCTTGAAATGTAAACACATTACCTCTGGAGACATAAAGCTCTCTGGAGTTCTTGTTGTTTTTTTCAGTCCTAAATTACCTTGTAAAGATAAGAGTTTTAATCTAGCTGCCAAGTTCCAGTAAAATGTTCTCAGAAGGCCCTAACTTTGCAGCAACAAAATAATTTTCTCCACAGCTGCACAAGAGGATTATGGGATGGGGTGCCTGAGGAGTTCCTCTAGATTGAGTTGTCAGCTGTGACCTCTCTGAGGAGGTGATCTAAGCTGCGATATGAAAGGCAAGAGGAGTCAGTGTGTGAAAATCTGTGAAAAGGTAACATCTGGTATAAAGATATAAAGGTTAGAATGAGCTTAGACTATTTCATTAACCAAAGGAAAGCCAGTTTTGCTAAGAATGTAAGGAGAAAAATGAAAGGAGATATAATCAGAGCAGTGCCAGGTTTCCCAGAACGTGGAAGTTATTTGGGTTTTATTCTATTGGTAATGGGGAGCTATGAAAGGGTTTTTAAGTAAGGAGGATGTGGCTGCAGTAGTCTAGGTTAAAAAAAAAAACCTAGCTGTATAGATGTAATAGAAGTAAATGTAGAGAGAAGTGAGTATTGTAGTTGTTCAATAATTTATTATTCCCTCATTTAATAAATGTATTGGGTGCCTACTCTGTGCAATATAGACATGAGCGAGTTTCTGGGGACACGTGCTTGAAAGTTTGACATTATCTCCATCTTGAAATTTATGATGCAGTGAGGGAGAGAAAAGATTGTGTTTGGGATTGTAGAGGATGCCATGGAAACAAGGAGGAGCAGCTAAGCCACATGGGGCTCAAGTACATAAAGGAAGTCTGAGACAGAAGGTTGTATTCAACTGTGTGTCACAGAAACGCAGTCAAAAATCTTATCTTATCTTATCTTATCTTATCTTATCTTATCTTATCTTATCTGTTATGGTAACAGCAGGAGACTGAGGTCCAGACTCCCCCCAGCTTTCAGCATTATCATCCTTAATGCAAGGCTATTATCATATTTACAACAAAGATATTGCCCTTCTAGACATCACTTTTCATTTCTAGGAAGGAAGAAAGGGAAAAGGTTAAGAGCAAATGATATGTTGAGTAGGTTTGCCCATTTTTTTTTTCCAGGAAGACAGTAACACTCTGAAAAGCCCAATACCTAACTGCTGTTTATACAATATAGTCTTTGCCCAGAATCATGTCTCAAGCTCATCTTCTGATTTGTGGGACTGTGGAAAGCTAAGTATTTTTAAGTGGAAACATTACCCACTAAATTAATTTGTGTTCTATTAGAAGAGGAGATGGAGTGAATAGATATTAGGAAGGCAATTAAAAATGACTGGCACAGGAATGATTTCTGTAGAAAGTGAGAGCTAAGACTTGCAAGAAAGGAAAATTCTCAGAAGGCCATTGAGAGACTTACAGGAAAGAAAAAAAATCCTATCACTTTTTCTTCTCAACTCTTTCTTAGAAAGCAGTGATAAGAGACAGTATAAAAAAGAATATGTTCTTCATTTTCTACAAAGTTGCTATTGAAGATACTATTCATATTTTAGTCAGGGCTCCTTTAGATACTTAAACTACATTCCACTTTCACTGTTTGAATCTTATCCTTTGAATTTTTCATAATAGCTTTATTATATCTACTCCTCTTACTTATAATATCAATGAAATCAGTTTAGAGGTAGGTGGAAACCACCTATTGTAGCCATGACTGAAAATAAACAAATGTAATAATATAGTGAGCTTCAGGAAAAAAATGTGTTTGATCTTTAAAAGATTTTTCTAAATGAAGTATCTAGCACAATGGACCTTGTGGTCAGTCCTCATTAAACAGAATACATGGCTATTGATAAAACAGACCCACATGTATCTTGACCAGAATACTACTCTTTTAATAGAGGAGTTACATACAATAAAATTAATTTAAAAATAGGCTAAACTTTTAGAGATATTAATTTTATTCCTCAATTCCAGATTACATGGAGTATTTGGTTCCTGATCCTTCTTAATCTCTCTAGCCTGCATTTCTGAAAACGTGAGGAATGCACAAATCCTTTGAGAAGAAGGAAAATTTCTTAGAATAAATATCAGTAAACAACCCTTTCCTATGAAATTTTTATGTCTTGCTGAAGTAGCACTTAAAACTGGAATCTATTGAAGTTGTTTATTCCAGCAATTCACCTTCTTGATTTTAAGGTGAGAGCTCAACTGTGGGTCCGAGTCAAATACATTTTTACAAAACCTTGCATGATCATGTGGTTCAAATGTGGATATTCAGCAGCCCCATGCCTCAGAGAACACAGAATATGCTGGATGGTACCTAGGACCAGAAATCACTACCAACAAGGCACTAGGCATGGTTTGCACAATCCTGAAGCATTGATTGGACTTTGCACAAATTATTTTTGAGAAATTATTATATCTGTATAAAAGCCATTTTCCAGATGACTGATTATATTTATAAAAGCAATAGTTTTAATGCTTTTGCTCCTGTTTGATAATTTCAGGTTTGATAATTTGGAGAGTCTTTCATTCAACATAAGCACTGTTTCCTTTTTCTTCTTGATTATATATTGATCTGATTGGACATGAGCATGTGGAACCATTGTTGCAAGGCTTTGGCATTTATAGACTGGACATTTATAGGTTCATTACCACCCTCAGGACATTTTACTTTTTATATTCAAATAATGAGTAAATATTTGCCTAGAGTAGAGTTGAGAATTAGTATGGGCAAATACATGCATTCATCCAATCTTCTCTCTTTTACTATTCAGACTATTGCAATTACAGTAATTTTTATCTCACATTTTGCATTTTAATTTGAAATTTAGAACATCACAGAAAAGTTTTTTCAAAAAATGAAGAGATGCACAAAAATGTTTATATGCTTTTAATGCAACAGATTGCTAGCTACTCCAATACTTCACACACACACACACACACACACACACACACAAATCATTATATCATTCACTCAGTTTCTAAAGCCTGTTAGGCTCCTGATGGTACAAATGAAGTAATCTTTCAGCAACCTAACACTGGACTGCAGAAATGGTGAAATCAGGAAGCCACTTAGAGTTTAATCCCCTCTCTGTTAAGAATTCTTTTGGAGGAACACAGGAGTGGCTGTTTGGCACCTACAGGTGCATAGGAAACCTGTTGAGTAGGAATTGGCCCGAGCACCTGAGTCCTGAATGGATTCCTTGTTTGTGACAGGCTGACTACACATGTCTGTGTTCAGAAAAAGGGTAAGCGGGGGTGGGGAAGGGTGGTCAGATAAGTTTACCAATCTATTTCCGTCATACTTAAAAATGTAATGACAATCACTTCCAAAACATTTATTGGGCAAAATGGGAAAAAATATTTGACCTAATAATTGTTTATATAAAGGTTAACAAATGTTTCAGGAAAGAATTTTAACGGACACCAGATCCTAAGAAAGAATTGTGTGTTTTCAAAATACTGTTTTAGTGTTTTTAATACATCCATCTATGTTTATTGTGGGGAAGCAATAAATTGGCTTTCAAATAATACAAAATGGTTGCAGAAGCTTATTTTACATAAACAAAGTATTTAACTGTGGGATGAAAAGATGGGAGCTGGAGGCAAATTGGATTCTGCCTCTCCAAACCTGAGCATATGTAAAAGAAAGACTTTGTCCAGCAAAATTTGCAGATGGTCTAAATCCTCTTGGAGTACATGGGCTCAATTCAACACTGATTTGGGATTATTCATTCAAAGGGTTTGGTCTCTTCTGAGACTGTAATAAGGTAAGGTAGCTTTTATGCTTGGGGAAAAAATAGTAACAATATTCCAACATGCACAGTGACTATGGCTGCTGTAGACCATTTCCTTAGAAAATCAACTAACTTTTACATGGATCTGACTTCAGAAGCTAACCTTGATGAAGCAAATATGATTCTATCTTCTGTATTTGAGGCAAAGATGAGCAGACAGTGAATACATGGCACACCAGAATCAGGCCTTCAAAAGAATCATTCAGCCAGGAATAATGAGTTGACTGTAAGAAGATAAAGCTCATTGTGAATACATATAAGTTTCCTCATTTTGGGTACAGACAAATAAAAACTGAAAAGAAAAGCATCTGTAAAGTTGTTAAGTAGGGGATATGGAATCTAGCAGAAACAGGTATGACATTAGCTTGCTGTATTAGTCAGGGTTCTGCAAAGAAACAGAACCAATAACATATAGCTCTCTCCCTCTGCCTCTCCCTCTATCTCTATCATCTCTATCACCTCATTTCTCTCTGTCATCTCTATCTCTCTACATACTCTTATGGCTATATTTAATGTTGGCTACATGGAGAGGAGTTAGATGCATTTTTAAAAAATGATGATGATGATGATGAAGAAAAATTGATTAATATTGTGCCATTTAGGAAGAAACTCAGAGAGTGAATAATTTCCCACAGGCATTGCATTTTCATCTATTTAAATTTTATTTTATTTTATTTTAATTTTATTTGAGAGAGAGAGAGTGTGAGAGAGAGAGAGAGCACACACAAGTTAGGGAGGGGCAGAGTGAGAAAGATAATCTTAAGCAGGCTCCATGCTCAACACAAAGCCTGATACAGGGCTTGATCCCAAGACCCTAGGATCATGACCTGAGCTGAAAAAAAGATTCAGATGCTCAACTGACTGAGCCACTCACATGCCCCCATAGCATATGTTTCTATGGGTCAAAGCAATAGGTTTGAAAATCTAGAAAATATTTTGTTCTTCATCTCTATTCTCGCTTTTGTTAGAATAATGCTACTGAATACCTTCCTGACGATGTCAAAAAGGTATGACCTATCCACCTTGATGTGATTATAGTAAAACTAATATCAAGATGGTACATTTGAACTTAGTATATTCCTCTTCCAGATGTGGTACTTTATTATATATGATAAAAATATATCATATATTTTTTAGTATATATGAATGTATTTAGTATAATGAATGTATAAATGGGTGCACAAAATTCACTCTGTGACTCAGACAAATGTGACTGCCAGCTAATTGGGCAGTACTGTCTAAAAAGAGCAAGATCAGAGTGCCTGGGTACAGTCAGTTACATGTCCTACTCTTGATTTCAGCTCAGGTCATGATCCCATGGCTGTGAGATCAAGCCCAGCATCGGGCTCTGTGCTGGGCTCTGTGCTGGACTTGGAGCCCGCTTAAGATTCTCTCTCTCCCTCTCTCACTGTCCCTCAAAAAAAAAAAAAAAGAAGAAGAAGAAGAATGAAAACAAACAAAAAATGAAAAGAACAAAATCTTAGCAGGAAACGATCTCATTTTTTTCTAATAAGAAAATACCATTGATGTTTCATATTTCTAGACAAGGTGGCAAACTGGTAGCCCGAAAGTGTAATCCAGTCCAAATATGTGAAAATGATTTAGAAACATGAGGCAGCATATAAAAGTCAGGCAGTTGCAAATAAAATCCTTTATCTGCTCTTATCTTGAAAAACTTGAATTTCTCACAATGATATATAATGTATTCCTGGATGGCAACAATCTCCTGAAAATGGGTAACCATTTTTGCCTTTAGGCAAGCTTTGTGCTCTCCAATTGATTCCTTCCTGACACTATGTGCCCTATGCCCATTCACCAGGGGGCTCATATTCTTACTTAAATTACCTTCCAGTCTTTGTAGTCCTTGAAGTTTTGTTTCCTGTTCTTTAAAAAAGATGATGCCCAATTTAACCAAAGAGTACAGGACAAACTCCCACCTTTCTGGAATGTGTATTGAAACTACTATGGAATCCTATGTTTCTGGCTTAGAAATTTCTTACAATTTTATTTTTTGAAAAGGATAGGCCTGCATTATTATGACAATAGAAATATGATTAGAACAATTTTTCCTACCATTATCCAGTTTGTGGCTTTCAACAAAGATTTTCTGGAAATATAAACCACAATTTCAGTGCTTTTATTGGCAAATAGGACCATATTGGTGAACTCATACAGTAATTGCGCTTCTGTAGCCCTCAGTACTCTAATTTACAATTATTTTAAATTTAATGCTTTTGATTAGGTATTTCCAGAAATGAGAGTGCTTAAGTAATCCAAGAAACAAGGAAATGCCTTATAAATGTAGGGATGATTTAAAAGCTTTCTTGAAGTTATTCAATATCAGATACCTAGTAAAGCTAGTTCCTGGAATTGATCATCTGTAAATAAATAACTAGCAAGAAATTATAGTACTATAAATACTCTAATCACCATGAATTCTTCAGTGAAAGCATCTAGAATATATCAGTAAATCTTTTATGTAAGGGGAGTTTCTAGAAATACCTGAAAACAGAGGTTTTAAGTATCATGTGATATAAGAACAACAATCTATCAGTATTTCCACTGATGGTCTTAAAGTAATAAATTCAACATTCCTTTAATAACATTTTCCCCTTTTGTGGTGCAACAATTCCTACCATAAAATAACACTTGAGTCTATTGCTGCTTGCTAACTTAACAACTAACAGTTTATGATCAAGAAGTAAGGCTAATTTATTCAGGGTTTAGACTCTTGAGATTAGAAATATTTGGTGAAATTACTTGTTGTGCTGGGAAATCGATTGCACCTATGTATAAAGCTTACATGGACGGTCTTTCAAGTGTGGCTAAATCTGTATTTATAATTTGTCTACAATTCTGTGTGGACTGAAATCCCACTAGGACATAGGGGTAATTTATTTGTGTATAAGAGTATATGGGTTACAATTGATTTTATAAGTATCTGAAAAACCGATAGCACCTACAACTCAGCTCTCTTGTGAGTAGCCTGTGGGGGTACAGCTATGAGATGCCCACCTGACAGTAGAAAATGAACAGTAAATTGGTTGGGAGAATCTATGATACCAAAAACTATTTTCTGGCTGCTGCATTAATTGGTTATATCAATCAAAGTAAAAACTCAACATACAGACATTTATGAGTTCCTTTATATCATTGAGTTTGGGTCCATTTTAAAACAAAAAGGAATCCTGAAAAAAAAAATCTGAGGCTAAACATTCAGATGGTAAAAACTCCTCCAAGCATAGAGGTACAAAGTTCTTATGTTTATTTTATAATACAGTTCTTTAGTGTGAAGCTAAAACTTTGCTTTAATAGAATACTATGGTAAAGCTGGTCTTTACCTTTTCCTGTAACTATGGAAGAAGCATATTTCTCCACTTACAAGTTGAAGAAAGAATTACAGACATTTTCTGTAATCCTTTACTTTCTTTGTTCATTCATTAATTCAAAATCTATTATTGAGTGCCACTGATATACTACACTGATATACACATTCCCCTGAGTAATAAGCAAGCTTTAGGGAATAAGAATACACAGGAGGGATTACATTCAGGCATGCATCAGGAGGGAGAAGATCTATAAGTAAGTAAATTATGTAGTATGCTAGAAAATTGTAAGTGCTTTACAACTGGATGAGGTGGCATCATCTGGGAAGCAAGTGTACATATCAAGGTGAAGAGGGCAAAGACTGAGCCCTAGGAGCAGTTCCATCATGGAGAGAGAACTTTGTGAGGGACAGTGGAAATCAACCTTTATCCCTTGCCCATGACACAAACTTCTGGTCAATTTCGTCATTCCATGTTTGACTCTAATAACAAAAAGATAAAATCTCACCAGTATATAGTGAAAAGATATTTATACTGAGTGATAGAAAAGCTGGAACTCTCCTGTAAGCAAGATCCAGGCATACTGACTTACTAACTATGTTTATTATAGCTCCATGAGACAAGGAGGCTCTTTTACTTTCACTTTTAGCTGGAGCCGTCTAGTCATTGAGGGTTTAGTAATATGATTTTTAGAGGAAGTTGGGAGTGAGCCATCTAGTTTGAGGGAACAACTACTGGTCAGGGTGCCTTTGCAGTCTGAATTCAACCTTCTCTAGGAACTAAAGGGCATTGGTTGCCTTTCGTCTGATTATGAAATATTAAGTAAATCCTTTTTTTTTTTTTGACAGGATAACTGCTCAGATTTCCATTTCTGGTGCTATCAAATACTGATGAATATTTTATATAGCTAAAATTATTCTCTGATATAAGCATATGCTGCATGTACAACTAATCAAATATTCAGCTAAGTCACATAGCTTGTACGACAAGAAATCCCCTAATAAAGGGCTCCGAGTTTTCAGAAAACTGGTAAAATTCTCCCTTAGAAGCTAGTGGAATGTATGAGATTACTGTTCACTACATTTTAATGGCAAAATAATAACAAATAATGTCAGTTACTTTATCTCAACTGTTTTATCTTTTCCTTGCTGAAAGCCTCTAATGGAATTACTGTCTTTTTAGCTAACCAACTTATAGAGAATGTGGGTAGTGGTTTCAATATTTATGAAATGCTCATTTTCTCATAGGATAGAGGCTACTGACTTTTTTCTATAAATGACAGAATTTATTAATTGATGCTTGAACCTGTTGCGTTTTCATTTTAACTTTCAAAAGGGTAAAGAACATGGCAGACACATATTCAAAGCAAAACCTGAAACATCGCTTGAAAACGTCTAGCTCAAAAGCTTCATTATAGAGAAAACCAGCCCCTGGATAGTGAAGAAAAGCAGCAGTTCCTGTCAGCATAATTAGGAAGCCCTAAAAGAGATTTCCTAGAATCATTTTTATCTTTTTAATAAGAGTTCTTAACTAAAAGAATATGTAAGGAAATCCATATTAATGGTATTCAAAAAGGTTGGTAGATTCATGTATCTCATATTTACTCATGAGTAGAGTAGAATTATAAGTTTATGGAGCTGACACTTCTCTGAAAAACATGAACTTGGATTTGTTTGGTATAAAAAGACCAACTTTCTCTCAACACTAAACAGGACGTAGAAGGCGATGTGAGGGCCTCCAGCTATTATTTTTTAGTAGTTACATTAGCTTTAAGTTCACTTACCACTTAGGGAAAGAATGTGGTTCAGGGAATGGACTAGAAATCTTAAAAGGCTGAACTCTTAGATTTTAATCTCAGTTCACAGTAGCCATAGGCAACTTGCCTCTGTCACAGAAGCAATTGAGAACGTAAATGTTGTTAAAGTATCTTGAGCCAACTGAATAAGATAAAATTTTATAAAGATATATGCCAGGGTATTACTGATAAAGCAGTGTGCTTTTTCAGGATAGCCATTATTATGAAACAGCTGGCAGAGTAATATAAATCCACACAATGGGCTTCACAATCTGCCACATGGTCATCCCTAAACACAGTAGTACATAAAGTAAAACTTTCCTTTGGTCAAAATATCTTGAAAAGCTTTCCATGATGCCTGAATCCCAGCTTCCCAATTTTCTTCCCAATGAGAAATCAGAATAGTTAGTGGGGTGGAAGGCTTAGATGACATCCAACTGGGTCCAAGGGCTCCAAAGGCTGGTGGGCTGTGTTGTTAGGAGGCCCCTAAACAAAAGCATGGATTATGAAGCAGGTTCAGTGTCTAACTCCTTTACAATTGGGTCCTGTTGGGTTTTTTGCATTGACAGCCTCTTAGTCATTATTATCCCAATCAAACCAGTTTTCACGATGATATTCCATATCCCATTTTCCTCACTACATGAAATGCAGTATTGAAAGGACCAGGCATCTTTCACAAAGCATAACAGGACATTGATAACTGTGCAGATTGACTCCCAATGCAATCTCAGGCCTTGTTTCTTACTTTATGATCTTTTTTCTTTTTTTCTTTTCTGGACCAGCGGGCTTTCCCTCATCAGGCTGATGATGGCTCACTTCACACATACCACTCAAGACTTCTGTGCAGAATAAAATAGAAGATCAAAAGCAGGTAGGAGAAGAGGAATAAAGGATTGAAATGAAAATTGAAAGAGAAGTAGTTGGAAGGAAACAAAGGTTTATAAAAGATGAGCTCAAGTTTCATGTTGGTGATGATTAGTCTTGCAAAACCTTCTGAGACCGTGGAAGCATTTGCTTGTCGAAAATCCAGGTTTTCTCTCTCTCTCTCTCTCTTTTTTTAAAGGCTTTTCATAATGAGCAACTCTACTCTCATTCGAAGGGTTGAATCTTTTTTGAAAGAGTTTGATAACACCAGGCATTTGAACACTCAGTCACATGCAGCAGAACCAGGCACATGGAGAACAGCTGATTCTGCAGAACCAAGGGCTTGGGTAAGTGCCCGGCGCTGAGCCACCTAAAGTGACCACAAATGCTGGCTTTTTAGTAGGCACAGAAAATTCATTTTAATTTAATAATCTTTTATGATGTAAGGTGATCTCTGGTAAAACTCTTCTGATAGTGTGGTTCCATTGATGGTTGGGGTTGGGCTGGGGAGTATCTTAAATATTGCAAAAGGAAACGAAAAACAGCTTCCCATATTTGAGGGCAGAAAGCTATAAAAAAAATTTTATGTTGTGAATTGCAGTGTCATCCCAAACATTTGGGTTGGATTTGGAGAATGGACTTAATCTTTTGGCAGCTTCATCTGAGGTGAAAAGTTGTACACTATTTGCTACACCATTGTATTTCAGGCTGGAGTTCCATCCACTGTCTGCTGTCAGTCAGCCCCAGCCCACAGATGTTCCATTAGTGAGGTATCTTATCAAGATTCCATCCTACCAGAAAATCTGATTGAATATGAGTGGAATCATATCTAATTACAAAGATGACATGATAATTGAAAATAATTATGGTTTGATTTTCTGTTAAATGAAAATAATTTTAAAAATGAGCCTCATATCATTAGAATTGACATGGAATCTCATGTAACCTGGGAGCAATCATGGTGATTCCCATTTCTTGGGTGACCTCTAAGTCTCCTTCCATTTTAAGATGACCTTTGGTAAAACCAGTTGTTTGTGATGTTAAGGTTCTCACTTCTTAAGTTCATGTGTTTGAGATAATAATCTTTTTGGTTCTCAGGATTATGACATTATTTGTTTTGCTACTGTGAATTGAATTCTTATAATTCATTTTAGGGTCCAAAGAAGAACAATCTAAACTGTCAATTTAAATAACTTTGGTAGCAACAGCAAAGAGGTTGTATTTAGTTAAAAGCCTAATATTTCTTTTAATATATTATAGAATATTTCCTTTGTTATTTCACTTTTTAGTCACCAGCTTTATCTTATGAGACACATATCAGAGCTATTATTTGAACACTGTTGTTAGTTCTACTTTTTTTAATGTTCCTAAGTGATTTTTATTTATTTTTCTTTACAGACTATTATAATACTCGGCTAAATATAAAAATCTATAAATATGCTGCATGTACTTTCATTTTAGGCATTTTCTTTTTTTTTTTTTTTTTTTTTTCATTTTAGGCATTTTCAGTAACGTCCTCAAAATAAAATATAGTAATGGTTATTGTTAACAGCCACATAATATAAAAACCAGGTCATGTTAGATAGCGTGACAAATTCTACATTCCTTTCAAGACATTTAAAACTTTCCCCTACCCCCTTTTAAGAAGGCCTATGATAATGATCCAGAGGATAATGAAAAATTAGATTTTTCTGCTAGGAAATCTTATTTCAAAGATAACTTTTGAACCATGAGCAGATGCTCAGACTGTAATCTATTTAGTTATGGTATCAAACAGTGAATTACTGAAGATTTATGTTTTTGTAGTCTTTTCAATAGCTTGAATAGGATTAAGATCATTAGTGGAGGATGATAATCTTTTGTATCATTTAAACACCTATTAGCCATGTTTGCTTGCAAGGAATTCAAATTTTTGGTTAATTTACCAAATCTGTGCTGTTTTTTTTATTTTGTATTTAAGCTGGAATTTAAACTGGGTCAAGATTATAAATTAAGCTTGGTCTGGTTTGCTGCATTTTGTCTTCATTACAAAATGTTGTAACTAGAAACCAGGCATAAGAGCTTTACCAAGACATGATAAAGTAAACATTAGACTGAGCTTCATAGATTCAGAGTCATTCCTGGTTGTTACTAAGTAGCTAAGTTTATTTTGAGTGGGGAATCATCGAAATTCCAAGCTCTCGAGACTTCAGTGATGTGGTAAAGAAAGGTATACGTCAAAAAAGAAAATGATCGATTTGACCAGTTCGATAATACTTTTCCAAATATGGAATGAATGTTATGGGAAATATTTTATTACTAATGACCAGTGGGTTTTATCAGGGCTTACAGAAAAAGGTATTAATGAAAAAAATAATAAAATGATATTGGTTGAAAAGAATGTCCTGAGAAATGTATTGTGTCTTGTTTCCCCAACATATGTATTATGTTATACAGAGTCACATAGTAACGTTTAAACTGGGGTTGGCAAGGTCCACAGAGTAAAAATTTTTAGCCTTTGTGGGTCCTCATCAGGACCACTTAAAGCTGCCATTGTAGCTCAAAAGTAGCTACAGAAAATATGTACACAAATGAGTGTAGCTGTGCTCCAATAACATTTTATTTATAGACACTGAAATAAGGATGTCATGTAATGTTCCCTTTTCATGAAATATTATTCTACTTTTTACTCCTTTTAAAGCATTAAAAAATGTGAAATCTGCCTTTGTTCATGGTCCATACAAAAGTATGTGTTGGGCAAAATTAAGCCTGCAGGGCATAGGTCACTGACTCCTAGTTTAAAGGGTTAATTTTCTAGAATTCACAATAAGCCATAATTGTACATTAAGAAATATAAAAAAATAAAATTATATGCCTGGATTTCTGTGGATTTTTAAAACATAACAACAACGTTTAGAAAATATTGTGATGCCAAAGTCTGAAGAAAAATAAAAAGCTGCCAAGCCTTAAGAACCGAAAAATTAAGTTAGATTATTATGGCGATTTTGTTATTTCTGTTGCTATGCATAGAAAGATCCAGAAGCTAAATACAAAGGGCATTTTTGTCTGTTGTTAAAAGGTGGTTGAGGTTAAATGAAAATGTCAATGGCTTTATTTGTTTATAAAGTTCAAATTCCCTGTAAAATGATGTTAACTTGAAATTTTCACTAAGACCTTACTCATTTAATATGAACTAAGTCATTAGAAAGAGTAAGAAAAAAATGAAGACTGGTTAGTGTCATATGTTAGAATTTAAAGTATATTCGGTCCAAGATGCTCAACAAATAAGTAACCAGAGCTCATATAACTACACTATCTCTCAGTTGAACATACCGTCATTAAACCACTGAATATAAACCTTCTGTAAATTACATGACTAGTACTTTCAGATTAAACTGTTTTTTAGATAACTTATAATTTGAAATTGGAAAGAACTATGACTAACTTTCTTTCTATTTCAAATGTAATTTATCATAATTTGGATATAAGAAGTTAAAATTATTGAATAATGAAAAACTACTAATATTTTAGAGACTTAAAATCATTACCATAGAATATATACATTTTAAAAACATGTGTATTTGTGGATAATGCTCATTTGTGCTCATACATGTGAATTCTGGCACAGCAATTCTATTTTGAAACTTATTTTGAATAAGTATTTAAAATTAAAGTAATATATTTCTGGTTTCTAAAAATCCCTTGTTTTGTCAATTCTATCATAAGAACATGTGCCTTCAATGTTAATGGAATAAAAAGGAGACAGCAAGGGATTGTATTAAGTTTGATGCTTTTTAGTTTATAAAAGCTGAAAAAAAATTTACAGGGCATAAAAAGTGCAAGCTGAATATATTTTTTAAAAAGTGAAGCAATTACTTAAAGCTACTTAGAGAACATTAAAGTATGAAATTTTTTTTAAAAAACTGAATCAATTAACTAATTCAAGCAATTTTAATCCAAGAGTTTTATATACGTAGATGTATTCTTAAACCCCAATCTCATTTTCTTATGTATTAAAATCATATAAATAAATATAAATTACTTCTAGTGGTCGGAGTGTTGATTTAAAGATTTTAATTTAACTAATGTGTTGAAATTGAAAGTTTTAGTTTCATTAATGACATAATCTTTATTTTTATTTTTATTTTTTTTTTTACAAATAGTTTATTGTCAAATTAGTTTCTATATAACACTCAGTGCTCATCCCCAAAGTGCCCTCCTCCATGCCCATCCTCCCTCCCCCCCACATCCATCAGTCCTCAGTTTTTGTCAGCATTCAAGAGTCTCTCATGGTTTGCCTCTCTCCCTTTCCCCCACCATTTCCGCCCTTCTTCTCCCCCTTGTTCCTCCGTCAAGTTCCTCCTAATCCTCCTATACGCGCAAACATATGATATTTGTCCTTCTCTGCCTGACTTATCTCGCTCAGCATAACACCCTCAAGGTCCATCCATGTTGCTACACATGGCCAGATTTCATTGTTTCTCATTGCCATGTAGTATTCCATGGTATAGATAAACCACATCTTCTTGATCCATTCATCTGTTGATGGACACTTAGGCTCTTTCCATGTTTTAGCTATTGTGGAGAGTGCTGCTATGAACATTGGGGTACATGTGCTCCTATGCCTCAGCATTTCTGTATCCCTTGGGTAAATTCCTAGCAGTGCTATTGCTGGGTCATAAGGGAGTTCTATTGTTAGTTTCCTGAGGAACCTCCACACTGTTTTCCAGAGGGGCTGTACCAGTTTACATTCCCACCAACAGTGTAGGAGGGTGCCCGTTTCTCCACATCCTCGCCAGCATCTAGAGTTCTCTGATTTGCTCATTTTAGCCACTCTGACTGGCGTGAGGTGGTATCTCAGTGTGGTTTTGATTTGTATTTCCCTGATGAGGAGGGATGCTGAGCATCGTTTCATGTGTCTGTTGGCCATCTGGATGTCCTCTTTGGAGAAGTGTCTGTTCATGTCTTCTGCCCATTTCTTCACTGGGTTGTTTGTTTTTCGGGCGTGTAGTTTGGTGAGTTCCTTATAGATTCTGGATATTAACCCTTTATCTGATATGTCATTTGCAACTATCTTTTCCCATTCCGTTGGTTGCCTATTAATTTTCTGGGTTGTTTCCTTGGCTGTGCAGAAGCTTTTAATCTTGATGAGGTCCCAACAGTTTATTTTTGCTCTTGATTCCCTTGCTTTTGGGGATGTGTCAAGTAAGAAGTTGCTGCGGTGGAGGTCAAGGAGGTTGTTTCCTGCTTTCTCCTCTAGGGTGTTGATAGTTTCCTGTCTCACGTTCAGGTCCTTTATCCATTTTGAGTTGATTTTTGTGCATGGTGTGAGAAAATGATCTAGTTTCATTCTTCTGCATGTTGCTGT